ACTCCTGGGAGAGGAGACCCGGCTGCTTTGCAGCTGAACAGGGTGGTGAGCTGCGCCACACGCTGTGATGGGTCAACTCGTCTGGGCCACACGGGACCAGCCAGGAGGTCACGGTGACGTGGTCACAGGAGCGGGTGGAGGTGAGGAGACCAGACCTCAGGGGCTAACAGGGACCGACACTCGGCCCAGCGGCATGTCTGCAAGCAGCACGGCGGACGATGGCAGGTGTGGGGAGGACGTGGCGAAGCCAGGCCCGCACACGCTGCTGCTGAGACCCGGAAACGGTGCGATGACTTTGGAAAACAGTCTGGCAGTTTCTCAGAAGGCTACTTGTAGGGCTGCCACCTCGCCCAGCCACATCCACCCCCGGGCATGTATCCAAGAGAAATGACAGTGTGTGTCCACAGAAACCCTGTGCATGGATGGTTGTGGCAGCATGGTCATAACAGACAGGGGGGCCCTCCGAGCTCCCCAGCTGATGAACGGGTGAAGAGCACGTGGTGTGTCTGCACAGACACGACAAGGATGAAGTGCTAACGGGCGTGAACCTTGGCAACATGATGCCGAACGGAAGGAGGCAGTCCCCCCTCGTCTGACTCCGTTGATCTGAAATGTCCGGAAGTGGCAAATCCACAGAGACAGGAAGTAGATGCGGGTCTGTAGGAGTGGGGGCGCTAGCGGTTGAGGGCACGGGGGTTCTCTGTGAGGTGCTTATCATGTTCTGACGTCAATTGTGGTAATGGTTGTACAACTCCGTGGTTGTCCTGGACGCCACCAGCGTGTCCACGTTAAATGGGAATTGTATGGTATGTGAGTTATAGCTTCAATCAGGATGGCCTTGAGGTGCGGACGTGGAGACCAGTCTTGGGAAGGGGACAGAGGAGGCAGAGGAGGAATGGGAAACAGGCTCCGAACAGCAAGGGGCAGGAGGTTTCCAGCATGGAGGGGGTGGTGGTGGGGGGGAGTGGGCTCGGGGCATGAGCCGTCTGCCCCTCAAGGCAGCCTCCACGTCTGTTCCTGAAATGACACCTGTGTTGTGTCCTTTAGGTCCGCGGTGTTCAAAGACCTCTACGACCAGACCCCGGCCCGTTCCCAGAGAGCCCTCTACTCCTGGATGGCGGGCGCGCTGCGGGCGTCCTCCAGCGCCACCGGTGAGCCTGTGGCGGCCCCACCCCAGGGCCATCCATCCTCGAAACAGCTGCCACGTCTCGGAAGGCGGGGCTTCGAGTCCAGTGTCACACAGGGTTTTTACCTGCCTCTCCCCAAACCTGCAGGAAGAGTTTGTGTGGCCGCTTCACCAGGCCTGAAATCAGGCTGCCTCCGTGCCTCCCAGATGGCACCCCGGCTCCTGGGGGCGTGGAAGTGGGTGCCTCCGAGACTTGATGAGAGCCTTTGGAGTGAGGCCACAGGTTCAAAATCAGTATGAAAACCTCTGTGTGAAAGTGGCACAAGGTGACCTTTAAAAATAAAATCTAGCCCGGCCCGCGTGACTCAGTGGTTGAGCATTGACCTATGAACCAGAAGGTCACGGTTCGATTCCCAGTCAGGGCACGTGCCCGGGTTGCAGGCTCCATCCCCAGTAGGAGGCGTGCAGGAGGCAGCCGGTCAATGATTCTCTCTCATCATTGATGTTTCTATCTCACTCCCTCTCCCTTCCTCTTTGAAATCAATAAAAATATATTTAAACAAATAAAAAATAAAATATAGGAAATAAAGCACAGAAGTTTAGCCCTAAGCTTCCTGGCAACCAAAGCAGAAACAGGTCAGGATGCATTTATCTGAGAGATGCTCATTGAAAACCTGCCATGTCGCTCCAGGGGCACATAGAGTCCAGTTCCTAGAGACAGGAAGTAGCATGCTGGGCGTGTGGCTGGGGGCCAGGTGGGGGAGGGGAGGGGGAGGGCGCCCGTTTAGGGAGCAGAGGTCCAGTTTTGCAAGATGAGGGAGTTCTGAGGTGGACGGCAGGAGGGCCGACAACCGTGGGTGTGCTGGAGGCGCTGCGCTGTGCAGGCAAGATGGTCAGACGGAAGATTTACGGGGCGCATTTGCCCAGAGCTGAAAAGGAGCGATACAGAAGAAGCGTGGCTCTGTGGGTGAGCAATGCCAACAGTTCGTTAGTAGCTTTAGCTTGTGGAGTGTTTAATATTAGCAATACACACAGGGCGGACTTTTAAAACACCGTTAGAAAGCCTCCCATCTGTCGGCCACTTGGGACAGGGGAACGGGAGACAGTCTGCGCTGACGCGGAGCTACTGCTGTGCCCGAGGGGAGGTGCAGAGCCCGCAGGCTTGGCACGCATTTCGTACAGAGGGACAGAGTAAATACGTTAGACTCCGTGCACCTACGGGCTCTGCCTCCACGAGTCAGCGCTGGTGTTACAGCGGAAGCAGACACAGGCAGTAGATGAACAGGCCTGGGGGGCCCCATAAAACCTTGATGGGCACTGAAATCGGAATTTCATGTAATTTTCATGGGTCACAAAATATTCTTTCTTTTTTGATTTTTCTTTCAACGATTGAAAAGTGTAAAAACCAGGCGTGCCGGTGGCACAAGCGCAGGTGGTGCGCTGTGGCCTGCAGGCCCGGGGCCAGGCAGTCAGGGACGGCCTAGCGTTTCTCCTGGTCCAAATGCGCGATCCCTCCAAAGTGGGGATGGCGTCGGGCCTGCCGGCTCTGCAGGGGGGCCAGGCTCTGCCAAAGCCGTGGGGTGGGGGTGGCTCTGCGTGCGGGGACAGAGGGAGCCTCTATCCTCCTGGAGCCACCCTGCTAATCACCACGTCAAATGTCCCGAGTTCCCATCTAGGGGGTCCTGTGCTCACCCCAAAGCTTGGTTCCTGTTGGGGGGGTCACCCTGTTGTTCGTGTGGCTCAGCCCTGCAGCAGTGCTGCCATCGTTGCTCCTGGTGACGACTCACTGCACCCCTAAAGGCTCCCTGCCTCCTCCTTCCCCCCAAATGCCAACAATGAAGTTGTTGTTTATAAAAGTCTTTCACTGAAAGATTGGAGCAGTGGCAGCCAGTTCTAGCTCAGAGAAACTTGAAACTGGATCCTGGACATAACTGCTCTTTAAAAATTTAAAAACTTTTCAATATGCCCAGCTCAGTGGTTGAGTGTCAGCCCTTGAACCAGGAGGTCATGGTTTGATTCCCAGTCAGGGCACATGCTTGGGTTGCAGGCTAGATCCCCAGTAGGAGGCATGCAGGAGGCAGCTGGTCAATGATTCTCATCATGGACGTTTCCATCCCTTTCCCTTCTTCCTTTCTCTCTCTGAGATCAATAAAAACATATTTAAAAAAGCATTTAAATTTTTTTCAATCAGAGTTGACACAGAATATTATATTAGTGTCAGATGTACAGCAGAGTGGCCAGACATTCTGTACCTTAGGAAGTGGTCCCTCCAGTAAGTCCAGCGCCCACCTGGCACCGCACACAGTGATGCCACACTATTGACCATGGTCCCTGTGCTGCACTGTACATCTGGGGCTACTTCATAACTTCCAACTGCACTGATCAGTCTCGTCACCACGCCCCAGCCGATCCCCTCTGGCCGCCACCAGTCTGTTCTCTGCGCCTAGGGGTCTGTTTCAGTTTTGTTTGTTCATTTATTTTGTTTTTTAGATTCCACATGTGAGTGAGAGCACGTGGTCTTTTCTTTGTCTAACATTTCACTTAGCACAATGCCCTCTAGACCCATCAGTGTTGTCACAAATTAAAAACAATTTTTTGGGGTTAAACCTCATCTGAGGATATTTTTTCCATTGATTTTTAGAGACAGTAGAAGGAAGGGAGGGGAGGCGGGAGGGGAAGAGAAGGAGAGAGAGGAGAGAGAAAAGGAGAGGAAGAGCGAGTGAGATGTGAGAGACACACATTGTTTGGTTGCCTCCTGATTGAGCCCCAGCTGGGGCTGGGGATCGAACCTGCAACCCAGGCATGTGCCCTTGAACGGAGTTGAGCCCGGACCTGCAACCCAGGCATGTGCCCTTGCATGGAATCGAGCCCGAAACCCTTTATTGCACAAGTGGATGCTCTAACCAGTGAGCAACACCAGCCAGGGCAAGATTTTATTCTTTTTTTTATTGTTTAAAGTATTACATATGTCTCCTTTTTCCCCATTGACCCCTCACCCCAGCCACTCCCACCCCCGAGGGCAGGCCCCCACCACCCAGGGCTTGTGTCCATGGGTTATGCTTATATGCATGCCTACAAGTCTGGTTGATCTCTAACCCCCGCTTCCT